TTGGTGGTTGTTCTACTACATTTGACTTGGTTAGTCCATCCCAATCCACTTGCGTCAGCTGCTTAAGGCAGAGGTCAGTTGATACTGAGCACTTCTGTGCTGGACAGGTCCTTTGATCTGCTCCTATTGATAACTTTGGAGGTTGTTGTTTTGGTCCTTAACATGGTACAAAGGATCCCTCTGGATGAACTTCCTGTCCTTTGGTCTTGGGGCTGCCAAAATAGGATTTGTTTGGGGAGCCTGTTACCTGACTTCGTTAGTTTGTTAAGATACAGGGACACAACTCTGCATGGCACCCCAGCTCAGATAAATCTGTTGCTAAATGGCTGACTTCAGAAGTCTCTAAGAGCTGTGTGCAGCTCATGAGCCACAGTTTGGCCACCTCCGGTACAAGTGATTCCAGCTGCAGGTGGAAAAACATATTTCCAAGCTCCCCCCACATGCTACAGAAGAGTGTAGGGTTGTGGTTGCAGCTGGGGAGAAGGGAGCTGCTAGGGTTTGTTGTTTTTTGCCTCTCTCTTTTCTCATGCTCTTTGGCCTCCCACAGTGCTCTTATCTTTATTGGAAAAAAATAGGAATTTTTATACCCATGTTGGCTGGATTGGGTCGTGTTAAAGGTTAGGCTCCTGTTTGCACTTACCTCAATTTTTTAATATGTATGATAACTGGAGTACATATTTGCCCACATTAGACTTTTAGCATGGGAGCTAGTGGGGTAACAACTTTTTTTTTTTTTTCCCCCCCCTCTTGTGATGATGTAAACAGTGTGTCCCTTGGTTGTACAGCAACATGCAGGCCAGAAACTTTGTTACTCCAGTTTGGATCCCTCTGAGTAGGCAGCAGTTGAAGCAGAACAGGGAAGCCACAAACATAAGAGGAAAAAGGAAGGAGTGGGGAGTTCAGATCACGAGAAAAATGAATGAGCAGCAAACTGGAAGAAAGTGATGTTGAGAGAGGGTAAAAACCCAGAAAAATGGAGAGGAAACAGGTGGAGGAAAAGGACCTGAAGGAAGGTTAACAAGATGTGATCAGAAGTAATGGCCATGTGTAGACTCATGGTGCAAGAAAGGGCTGTACATCCATTTGAGAGACTAGGTTACATCTCTGCCCTACAGCAAGGGTTCTCAACCAGCATGTCGCCACACCCTGGGCTGCCATGAAACCCTTTTAAGTGGTCAGGGAGTTCTTGTGTAATATTTGCTCTAAGTGCAGAACCTTACACATGATTCACAAGATAAACTCGGAGATTTCAAACAGGAATCCATAGCAACAAAAACTTTCTGACCTGTTGTGGTCTTTCTGAATTCTTTGACACAGAAGAATTGCTCTTATTTTTCCACAATCAAAAAATAAGTGGAAACTAAGACCTGCCTGGAGTCTAAAGTGGTTGAGAACCACTGCTCTGCATGTTAGAGTCAGTTGCCTATGTGAAAAGATGAGGATCTTCAGGGAGGAAATAGTGAGAAACAAATCTATGCAATAACTATTGTGGCACAGAAGTTCAAGACACCAGTGCCTTCTCTGAGGTTCTGTATTATGATCTTGTCTGAGTCCTCGGTAAGCCCCTCCAGAGTTGCGAGCCTTCAGAGTTTGGAGCACTCCTGGGTTATGTACGCTGCTGAAGGACAATGGAATTGGGATGCATCGTCAATCCAAGGAGAAGCCGTCAAAGAAGCCCTTACGATCTGATCCATCTTTATTTGAGCCGTAAGTGACGGTGATTAGGGATTGTTCTTAATAGTGTCTTTCTGGCTCCCCTCCTCTGTCCTTGTGAATGAGGGATCTGTTATACATTTTACAAACAACAGCTGCCTGGACGATGGAAGAAAATAAAGCTTTCTTTTAAGTAAACAAAACCAGACTTTATTTGCTTTAAAGTGCAAATCCACAAAAGAAATCAAACACTGCAAACTGGGTGGCAGGGCTGAATTGGGAAGTAACTGAACTTTAAAAAAGTGTAGAATTCTGTTCAGGAAGCCTCCCTGCCATGGTGCAGAGCCCTTTCTCCTCGTGTGCTTGTGTCACGTGCGCTGCTGTGACCCGGAAGCGGGGAACACAGGGAAACAGGACAACTGGTTTGGAAAAAGAAGCAAAGCGGTGGAAGGAGTTGGTGTGAAGACCCTCAGAATGCACTGAGATGTACAGGGTGTGTGTGTGTGACCAGTGGCCTGAAGTTACTTGCATTGTGACAAAATTGCAGCCTGACTCAACAGGAGTAAAATGGCTGGATTTACCCCAGTGCAAGGGTTTTACCACTTGGGCACAGTTTTTGCTTTGTGGACGGGGTTTGCCTCAGGGTAACTCACTTGTTTAGACAAGACTAGGGATTAATTTCAGCATATACATCCCCTCTCGCCCCATCATGGACTGAGGGTTCCCACAGCTTCTATTAAAGGGCTCAAGTTTAAAAGGCTCAAACCAATCTATCTTGGGCCTAGGAAGGGTGTTTGTGCCCAAAAGCTTGCAAAGAACATTGTTTTCCAGCTATTTAGTTGGTGATACAAGTTATCACATCTACCTAAAGAACCTTACCTCGCAGTATTTTGCAAATTCACCATCTGACCCAAGCCCTTAAAATGAGCAGTGCCTTACTGAGTGAGACTAGCAGAATCTGGCTCCTGAAAAATAACAGACAAGTTGCATCTAGTATGTTGTGTGTGTTTGCACCTAAGAAAGCAGGAAATCTGAGGATGCAGTACATTGTCTAGATTGGTCAAACCTCCATCCAGGCCTACCATCTAACAGGGTGAGCATGGTTATGCCACATAGGCAGTAACTGGCAGTCCCTCAATTTGAGGATGATTGCTACCATGGCTCACTGACAGGGCTTGAGACTGGGGCAAGGATTGCATTCACGCATAGATCCATCTGCAGAAGTTGCAGGTCTTTGTGCAGAGGGAAGTAGGATGCAGGCTGCAAGTCTTCTCGTTTTTTGTTCCTTTGCACTCTCTCATGGCCAGTGATGGTGAATGATTCAGGTGGCATCCTGTCTAACTACCGCTGAGGTCCCCAGTCCAAGGTACTTACTCAAAACTGGGCCAATTGGGGATGGTGTTTGGCTTAAATCCAGAGTAAGCCTGGGCCAAATAACAATTTTCATGGTATCAGAATCGTACGAAATCAGGGTTGGAAGGGACTAAAGGAGATCGCCTCATCCAACCCACTGCTGAAAGCAGGAGCATGCCTAACTATACTATCCCAGCCAAGGATTTGTCTACATGGGTCTTAAAAAAAGGATGGGGATTCCACAGCCTCTCTGGGTAGTCTGCTCCAGTGCTTTACTATCCTTTTAGAGAGTTTTTCCTAATATTTAACCTAAACTTCCCTTGCTGCAGCTGGAGACCATTGCTCCTTCTGTTTCCTACCACCACTGAAAACAATTTAGCTCTGAGGTGGGCAAAATATGGCCTATGGGCTGGATTCAGCCCGCCAAGGGATTTGATCTGGCCCACGGTGGGTTCCTTGGCACTGCCTGGCCCAGGTGCTGGGGACAGCCAGGGCTGTGGTGCATGTGGCTGGTCCTCCTGCCCCCAGGCATGGAGCAGGGCTGGGGCAAAGTGGTGATGGCTGCAGGGGCCAGCGTTGCTGCCGTCAGACCAACCCTGCAGCCCTGCTGCCCCACACCCACTGCTGGGAGCGCTGGATGAGGTGGGTGGGCAGGGCCTCCATGCAAACAAGCCCAGGACCCATGTGGGCAGGGTGTGTGGCTGGGTGGATGGGATGGGGGGCTGCGGTTGGGCAGAGAGTAGCAGGTAGGGGCAGGTGGGGCTGGGGCCAGGATTATGGGGTGATGGTGGTGTGGTCCCAGGGCAGAGCCGCAACCCACTGCCTGCAGGTCCCTGTGATGGGCACCAGTTCTGTGGGAAGGGGTATGCTGGGAGCGGACTGCAGCTCTGCCTTGGGCCCCAGCCCTATGCTGTCACTGCTCTGCCATCCTGCTCCCTGCGGCCCCATCCTATCTGCCCAGCCAAGCGTGTCCTACCCATGGAGACCCTGGGGCTGGGATTGCCAGGTGGTGACCGCCCAGGCTGGGCGCAGGGGCAGAGCCCCTTGATTATAGTGAGTTGTTGCAGGCCCGGTCAGCACCTTGCCCCTCCTGGCCTGCAACAGCTCCTCCAGACTCCCTAAGTGGCCTCTGGCCCAAATAAGTGCCCACAGCTGGTCTAGCTCCTTTGTAACCACCCCTTGCCATTTCCCCTTAGTCTTCTCTTCTCTGAACTAAACAAGCCCAGCTCCCTCACCCTCTCCTCATTAAGCCCAAATCTGGACGCAGGACCCCAGCCGTGGCCTCACCAGTGCAGAATAGAGGAAAATAACGCGCTCGGTCTGCTGGCGATGCTCCTGCCCGGGATGCCGCTGGTTCCTATCCACCCTGCCCACTGGCACCCCCGGCCCTTCGCTGCCCAGCCAGTCCATCCCCGCGCACGGGATTGTCCCGTCCTTACATGCAGGACTTTGCCCTGAGCCTCATGACACGTCTTTGGGTCCCATCCCGTGCTTCAGGCCCCTCTGCAGCCCAGCCTGCGTGCTGCCCAGCCCGGCATCCAGCTAGCGCAGAGCCCGCTCCTTGCTGCACCCCCGAGACGTGCCCGGGGAAGGCAGGGCAGCGGCTGGGCGCGCCGGACACGGTCGCGGGAGGGAGGTGTGCGGGTCCGTGCTGCGGGCGGGGCCGAGGGAGGGGCAGCCCGGCTC